AGTCAGATGCTTAACCCACTGATGAGTCACCCAGGCGCCCCAGCATTATCACGTTTCTTATAAAAATGTATCATTTACCTAGAAGTAGCGTTGAGTTACAAGGTAGTTTGCGAAATTGGTACAAGTTCTAGTGTTTGTAAGGCAAAACAAAAATAAAGCAAGAAAATAAATACTTTGGCTGAAGTAGAAAACGTTATGGGAACAATGTCCAAGTCTGACTGAGCCGACATAATATGGGAACAATCAAATTAATAGGCTGGGGTCGACTCTGTGTGGCTAAACTGCTCAAGTTCAATTCAAAGTTTAAGTCCCAACTTGAACATGCTGAGTGGTGAAAATGCTAATGGGGAAGGAGGCCAGAGAGAGCCAAAGGGGTGGTCTGAGAGCAAAAAGCCCACTTGTACACCGTTCCCCCTATGGCTGGATTTGGAACCCAGCTCTCTTGGCCTTCAGACACCATTTCATGGATACAACAGCATGCTTACCTCTGACCTCAAATGCTTACAATAAAAAAAACCCAAAACACTGAGATAATCTGCAGCTGGTTTAACAGTTTCAATAATATTAACAAAGTGATATTTTTCAAGTAGGGCCCTTTGTATTGTTCAATGCAATCAGGCTTAGATTAGGCTTCCAGGAAATCCCTTCCTGGCACACTCTCGCATTCCCCAATGTGGCAGTTTGAAAACTTTTCTTTCCCTCCTGTCTCAGAGGAATAATTGTTCCTTCGCCTTTCCAAAACTGCCCTACAAACGGGCTTTCGCCCCATCCCCCTCTGCCTTCCCCAGGATCCTGCTTCAGAAAGATCCCTTCTCTCTCTTGCTTCCTCTCCCCTCCCATAAATACATTCATTCACCTTTCTCAGCTTCAAGTGAAACACAGGTTTTGTTTGGACTTCTCTATTATACATCAGGGTTACTTAAGTAACTAACTTAACTAACCTGGGATCGATGGGCTTCAGAGGGGCTGAAACCCTAACATTTTATGTAAAGTTTTGTACATAAGTGCATTCTTCAGGGGATGAGAAACTATAATTTGTATCATATTATCAAAGGAATCCATAGCTGCAAACAGATTAAGAACCACGATTTCAAATCTACATCTCTAGACCCTTTTCTGAGGAGCAGACCTGAAATCGCTGCCGTCGATTCTGTCAAAAAGCCACAATAATGCTAACGGCCATATGAACAAAACAGAACTCCCCACTCCTCCCTCCTTGCCCTGTCTTCTACCTGTCTCCTCAAACAAAATCCTTTTCTGACCTCCCTGCTCTGTCAACGGCACCCCACCCTCCTCATCACTCAAGCCGCAAACCCCAGAGGGAAGGATGATTCAGCCTTCCTCGCTGTCCTCTCTCACCAAACTGCTGCCCAAGCTTGTCGTCCTCCACCCCGCCCTGGCCACCTGCACCGCCGGGTCCTCAGTCAGGCACTGTGGACCTCTCACCTGGCCTCTGACACCCCCTCCCAGGTTCCGTGAGCTCTCTGCTCCTGTCTAGTCTTCATGACCTTGTATTCAGTTCTTTCACTTATTTCAAAACCTTCCGTAGGTCTCCACCACTTCCCAGGTATTAGCTCCTTCCCTGGCAATGCCGTCCATCACGTGAGCCCAGAGCTCCTCTTGCCCACGCTCCGACCAAACAGCGCCTGGCTACCCTCATAAACACTTCACACTGCTTCCAGCTTTCCCTCTGCTGTGTCGAGGGTCAGGATCTTGCCTCTGCCTGAAACTCCACTTCCTCCAACGGAAATGATAACCATCCTTCAAGGCTCAACCCAAATGACTATCAAATTTCATGCAGGCTTTCCCATGTAGGTTGGACGTGTTCTCTTCTTCCTGTGAATCCCCAGTAGACTTCCTCTGCATTTCTCTTACAGCATGAAAGTAACTGTTCCATATCGGAGCCAGACACATGTGTCCTATCACTTCTGTCACATCCCCGAATGGGGCTAGGTATCATTCCTTCAGCCCATACTCCTCCTCATCTGCCCTCCCTGTTCCCGGACACCACCCAACACAGTACGCCGAAATAAACTTATTTACAAGACAGTTGTACATGTTGACTTGAATAGCAAGAACAGATGTTCCAAAAGCCATGGCAATAGCTGATCTGTTCTTATCTGCATCTTGTATTGTTTCAGTGATTGGTTTAACTTTTTTTTTTTTTTTTAAAGATGACTTTGAGTGGTTAAAACTTAGGGAATGTAATTTTCCAAAACTTTGTATAAGTAATCCGGCTGACATTTTTTCTCAAGTTTGTCACTTCCCAAAGAAGAAGTAGGGATTTCTAGTGCCAGTACAAAAATTAAGGCCAAGTACCACAGACGAGAAATCAACCCCTCTGTGGACTACTCCAATGACAGCAACCCGGAATCCCAGGCTCTGATGCTAGATCCACAACATCCAGAAATTTGTCCCATATGTTTCCATAAAATGGATTTTTCCTTCACTTTCTACTAAACCTGAGTTCAATAAAAAAAGCCATCATTATACAACTCCCAAGCAGAAGTCATTATGGTGAAGTGAGAGAGAGAAATAATGGCGGCTCCCCGCATTCATAAGCCCATAATATAGCAGGAGGCAGGCAATTCCTACATAATTATTACGTAAGGCAGGCTGAGGTAAGTGCTCTAATAGAGGGACCTGCAAAGTCTAACAAGTGAGAGGCAAGACAACCCCTACGGGGGGCGGGGGGGGCGGGGGGGTATACACAGATGGTATATAGAAGGACTTATGGCTGAGCAAGGTGGTGGAGGATGGGCTTTAAAGAGACAAGGGGCCTGCAAGTAAAGGGGATAGAAAAACCAAAGACTCTGCTCTGAGAAAGTTCTATGTGTATTGGAGGAGCACAGGGAAGTCCTGTGTGCTTGGAATGTAGGGTATAAGCCATGGGAAGTCACTGAGTTTGTTTTTGTTTTTGTGGAGAGTGGGACATAGTGACATGATTGTAGTTCAATTAAAAAAAGACTGGCAGCACTCTGTAGAATAAATTGGAAGGAGAGAAACTGAAAGAAGAGAAGCCAGTTGGGAAGCATGGGTTAAAATAGGAAGCCCAAGTAGAAATGGGAAGAAATATGTGAGAGTCACTAATAAGTAGAACCTATAGGATTTGGAACAGATGTAGCTATGGGAGGCAAGGCACGGAGAGAATAAGACACTTGACTTGAAGTTCTCAAACCTGAGCAACTGGGGATCCTCCTCATTGAGGTGCATGTAGGCTGAAGAGCAGGTCTGGTGAGCTGTGAAGAGGTTGGGGGAGACAACAAGCTTGTGATGCTCAAGGACTTCCAGAGGAAGATGTTTGAGAGTTAGGCTGGTTACATTCACTGGAGGCCAGTGTCGGGGCTAGATTTCGAAATCACCCATATGGCAATGACAGCTTATGTGATGGGATGAAACGAAACCATCAAGGCAAAGTGAGTAACATGAGAAGGCAGCTGAAGGGGGACCACCACAGAGATGGTCCACGAAGGAAAAGACAGAGGCAGTGGAGACTGGGAAGGACAGTCAAGGTGGCAGAATAACACACAAACCAGGACTTGCTGAATGCTGGGGGAAGAGCAAACAGAATGAAGACTGAAGTGAGCCATTAGATTTGGCCAGGTCTGAGTCCTATTTCATCTAAGTCCCAAGAGAAGTGTGGATGGAGGCGAGAGATGGGCCAGTAGTTTATTTTATTAAGATTTTATTTATTTATTTGACAGAGAGAGACACAGCGAGAGAGGGAACACAAGCAGGGGGAGGGGGAGAGAGAGAGAAGCAGGCTTCCCGCGGAGCAGGGAGCCCGATGCGGGGCTCAATCCCAGGACCCTGGGATCACGAACTGAGCCGAAGGCAGATGCTTAACAACTGAGCCACCCAGGCGCCCCGGGTCAGTAGTTTGGAGAAAGCTGGTCTAATACTTGACTTTTTAGGGGAGTAAACCCTAAAAGAGACAAAAGATGGCAGAGAAAGGGGATCTTACAGGAGATGGACTGGGCCCTCTGCTCCTTCAAACCTACTGTGTGAGCCGTTCTTCAAATTTCTGATAATTTGGGGCCAGATACGCAAAGCCCAAGATAGAACATGTTCCCTAACTGAATTTTCGTGGATTAGACTTACATTCTCACTTTCATAAATATTCCAAAGATGTGTTCTTATAAAACTTTTTGCCCTAATCATTAAAGAAATTGTTTAGTACTGAAATAGGTTTTACATCACACATTTAATCAAAAACTGAGAAAGGCTGAAAATGTGTTCAACTCTATATCATTACATTTGTTTTAAAAGCATTACATTTGAATCTGTAATCAACACATGACTCACGAGGAGTACTTTATGAATCTCTCTAGACCTCTAGTCTTTGTATAATTGTCCCTTCCATCAACTGTGAATTTCCTTTGCCCGGAACAACTCCTGATGAAATTTGGGAAGAGAGAAACCTTGTCTCACCAGAAAAAAAAAAAAAAAAAAAATCCCAGGCTCTTATTGCCAAAAAACCTAAAAGACAGCCTCAGGAAGAAGGGCTACATTACAAATGATCTCCTTCAGTCCACACAGCGGCATACTCATCCTAGACTCAAAGTAAAGGCATATATATATGCATATTTTTTTAAGAATTATTTCCTTGCTTTCCCCTTAGCAGGTGCTTGCCTCCAAGTCTGTTTAGAGCCGAGCAGAGGAGAAGGAGAGGGGAGTGAGGATGTAAGCAAGGCCTGGTGGCAAAAGGAAGGTGCCCACAGACCGCCTCCCTGCCTCATGCCTTTAAGGAGGACGAGCCAAGGCCGGGGGCACACTGGGGGAGGGAGAGCACAGACCACCCTGGGTGACACTTCAGTCACCTGGGGCGGGCCATCCCACATAGACTAGCAGAGGAGAGGCCTGCTCCTCCTGGCAACGCTTCAATCACCTTTAATAAACACCCTGGCACACACAGCACGCCGGGAAGCACAGACTAGAGAGTAAATGAAAGGGGAGACACCCGAGAACCTCCAGGTGCTGGGGAGAACCCTGGAATTTACCAGACTGTGGGCCAAGGGAAAGGCGTATCTTGTGAGGATCTCAAACATATCCCTTCTGCTGTGGCCTTCCTGTTTCAGCGCGAACCTCAGGTTTCTCATGTCCTGGGGAGGGGGGGAGCAGAGAAATGTGACAGTTCAGTCTTCAAATAAAGTGACATTCCTTAGCAAAAAAAAATCTCTTCAACTAAAGGAGTGGAAGATTCACTTACCTGAAAGGGCAGTTAATCTAGATTACTAAGAAAACCACTTTGTTTTGTGTGACATTTTGAAATATCCAGCTAAGAATACCTCAAAAGACTCTCATCGTAGTCATGAGTGTAAAGACAAAGCAACCAGTGCTAAAGAGAAGACAGAGCTAAAGTCATTTTATAACAAGAAAAATCAAACCTTGCCTTGCACACCATCTACGGTGTCTCTTTACTTCAACCGGTTTCTGCAGTATTTTCCCTATAAAAGAGTATTTTATTCAGTTTTTTTTTAAAAGATTTTATTTATTCATTTGAGAGGGAGAGAGACAGAGAAAGCACAAGCAGGGGAGAGGCAGAAGGAGAGGGAGAAGCAGACCCGACGTGGGGCTCGATCCCAGGACCTGGAGATCATGACCTGAGCAGAAGGCAGATGCTTAACCATCTGAGCCACCCAGGTGCCCCTTCACAGAACTTTTCAAATGTGTACCTGCTATCACATGTAAGCTCAAAACTGTCAAACATGTCATGAAAATACGGAAGCTCTCTCCCTCTCCCTCATGCTCCTTTCAAGTCTCATTCTAACAAATCAGGAAATGATTGGCACTTTAAGCTCTCATACAAGTAATGGAACATATTCTTCCCATCAAGTTGACTTGCACAGTGTTCTACATAGACCACAGTTAAGTACCCCTGTGCTTTCAGGAACTAAACATTAACGCTCGAAACTGGATTTTAAAAGGGGCTTTCAATACATATCTTTTTGCTAAGCAAGAAAACCTTCTCATACACCAAAACCAAACCAAAAAAGCTCCCTTAAATATCAAGTTGTATTACCTATCAAATATATAACATTCTGTCTTACTTTCAAAGCTAGAGTTGTTTCGCTTGTCTCCTAAATCAATCATTGTGCTGTGACCGAGTGGCTGAGCACTCAAAACACCAATTCAATTCAGAACAAACGAGCCCCGTGCTGGACCCTGGGGGGAATGTTAGGAGGCAGACAGCTGAGCTGGTCCCTGCCCTCTTGGATGTCACGATCTTTACATTTTTTCAAAGTGCTTTTTCATTTAGTATCTCAGGAGCACACTTAAAGCTTCCTAAGTCTCTGGCATGAAGGACTAGCAAAGGCCTTGCCATTTACAGGACATCCCAGAATGCCCCTGGCAGCAGAGGCGGTATAAAGAACTAGACCCGAAGACCTCTACTGAGTAACCCAAGACTGCTCACTCTCTATACAGATGGCATCTACTGGGCCTTGCCAGCTCTAGGATTCCGTGCTTTCACTTTTAAAAGCACAGAACTGAATAAAATCCAAAACCCAATTCACAACATATTCCAAGAAAACTGGGATATTAGTTGTTGGCTCATGATGCAAAGCAGTAGTCAAATAAAAGGGAATAATCATTTCAATGAGATGACATGCCTCGAAAGGGTTTACAACCGAGCCACGAGCATAGCACCAGATAGCCGAGGATCTGTGGGGCTCAAAGACCTGTGCAGAACTTTCCTCCTAACAGCCTGGGGTCAGCTGATAACTCCGTAACATCACTGTTCTTAACCACTTGGCCAGAACTTAGACCATTTCTAGATAACCATTTATTTTGATCCATCAGTGACTCCAACAACTACTTCTTGTTGCCATCTGATTCAGATGTAATTAAAGGACAGAAAAAATTACTACCTCATCTTGCCAACAAGAAAATTGAAACAGAAAAGGCAAATGACTCATAGGCGGCAGCTCACCAAATCTACAACAGAAATATGAGCATATCCTAAGTGGTAAGTTCCACCTGGTCTCCTTAGAGGCTGAGTCGTCAGGGGAGAGCCCCTGAGAAAGAGCCTTGTGGCAGAAGAGCCTCACAGCCCCCCTCGGCCTGATAAGTGGGTCACGTGGCGATGCACCAAGCCTCGCTATAATAAATGAGTCCGAGTAAACACATCCCCGGTGCAACAATACCGAAGGGCTGATTTATGGAGACATCATTTCTATAGCCCATCTCTAGAGAAACAACACCCATCGCTGCTGACCTCAAAATACCACAGTCTTTAAAACGAGTAAACAGGGGTGAGGCATGGAAGGAGAGAGGAGGTTTTGCAGTGGTTAAGGCTTGGCTTTGGCTTTTTTTTTTTTTTTAAGGCTCCAAGTTGTCAGCAGGGGCTGATGTGGTGCCTGGGGGTAAAAATTCACATATTCAGAGCCACCTTCTCCTGTGCTGGGACTTACACCCCCGGGTGAAAGCAGAAATCCCTGTGCACAGTGCTGGTAGGCCCAAATCCGTAGGGCTTAGAACGACCAGTCTCCCCAGGGCAACACTGGGGCTGACCTGCAAGACGGGAGAGTCCACCTCTCCCCCGCCACAGCAGGTTCCCTTTCTATCACCTTCCGGTCTGTTCCTGAGAACATGGGACTTGACTCTCATAACATCGCAGTTCTCAGGGAGATAACAGAATGAAGAGGCTGAGCTACAACACTGTTCTAGGCCATCATCTTTGGGCTCAACGCGAATTCCAAGAAATCTAGATATGTGTAACATTTGCGAGTGATGCCTGGTGAGTTGTCCCTAAGCCCCGTTTTTATAATAAACAGTCAAAGGGTAAGAATGCGCTTTATCTTATTAACTCTGGGAGGACTGATATTTAAATACAGATTCTTCCTATTGACAAGGCAACAAACAGGACTTTAAAAAATTCTATTAGAACTGAAATCACTTTCAAAGTCATCAATATTAGCAACCCAATTTTCCCTTGAGTACTGTAATATAACACTCTACTCCCATGGATCCTTTCATGCAAAAGGCAAAAACACTTCCTTAAAAGTAAATCCCTGTATTTCTAGGCCCCAAAGTGAAGACAGTAGCTGGGATCATACATAAGGCATTTAAGGTAGGTTGGATTAAAACAAAAACCAAAAGAAGCCAAGGTGGGCAGTGATGGAGAATTTCAGTTCAGGCCTAATGACCACACAATCATTTGGTTTGTGATAGAGTGTACTAGTTAGTCTTCATCTTTTATAAACAATAAAGCAAACATACCATATTCATAACCAAAACACAATTATAGGAGATTAGTTTTAAGAAATCACAGTGCTGGGCGCCTGGGTGGCTCAGTTGGTTAAGTGACTGCCTTCGGCTCAGGCCATGATCCTGGAGTCCCAGGATCGAGTCCCGCATCGGGCTCCCTGCTCAGCAGGGAGTCTGCTTCTCCCTCTGACCCTCCCCCCTCTCATGTGCTCTCTCTCTCTCATTCTCTCTCTCAAATAAATAAATAAAATCTTAAAAAAAAAAAAAAAAAAAGAAAAAGAAAGAAATCACAGTGCCTGGGCGCCTGGGTGGCTCAGTTGGTTAAGCAACTGCCTTCGGCTCAGGTCATGATCCTGGAGTCCCGGGATCGAGTTCCGCATCGGGCTCCCGCTCAGCGAGGAGCCTGCTTCTCCCTCTGACCCTCCCCCCTCTCATGTACTCTCTCTCATTCTCACTCTCTCAAATAAATAAATCTTTAAAAAAAAAAAAAAAAGAAAAAAAGAAATCACAGTGCCTGAGCAAAGGTCACATCTCCCAGATCTAGCTGTGAGAAGCACTGGAACAGTTGAGCTCCAAGCCCCTTCGAACTCTTTCTGGGATTGGACATTACTCTATTCTATTATTATTCTATTTGGATTATAACCATCTGACACTTAATACCTGGAAAGGAAGTTTTCTTGCCAGAAGGTTTAGCCTGTTGTCTGCAAAATGATCATCTCACTGTATTTGGATCCCAACCTTGCCATTTGTTGGGTAATCTTAGCTCAGTGACCTAACTCTTCTTAGGCTTAAGGCTTTGTAATGATAAAATGGAGACGCCACTGTCCATCTCAGAGGGTTGCCCTGAGGACTGAATGCAAAGCACCTAGCATGTGTCTGTACCGACAGAGATGCTCAATAAACAGTTATTATTACAGCTGAGTAAATGTTATTAACATTAAATCTCTGTCACCCACCATGCCAAAGCAAAATGTTAGGCAAAATGTTACCTCTGAAAACTAAGCAAAAGTTACAAAGGTTGTTAGAGGCACATCCTGTTCACAGAGGGTAAAATCTCTCACATTTCTCTTTCCTTTCACGGTGTGAAGATGTCTAGCTGGTAACACATCACATAAAGGGACACTAGGAGCAGACTCAGGCAAAACTAAAAAGTGTGAAAATTCTTTCTATAAAGTTTTCTTCCTATCCAATCAAGCTGACAGAAGGACAGGTCTGAGTCCTCACAGGTCTCTTTAATAGGAACTATTTCCCCAGGAGGTTTTGGAAGCCTGATCACAAGGAAAGAACCACTCTTGGGACTTAGATGAAATAGGGTCTTTGATTTTTTTTTTTTTTTTTTTGGTAAACCCCCATTAACTGTTACTCAGTATTCAACACTAATGTGTCTTTTTTCACAGAAGAAAGTACTGAATCTCTTACTTTACAAGTAATATCTAGACCATAGGAATTTTCTCCTCTACTTGTCGCGCCTCCCATTTTTTCAATTCTGGAGATCACACCCAGAGGAACATCAAGTATTAGAGCAGAATCCTGTAATGGACAAAAATGCAAAAGTCAGTATTTCTGCCAGTATCATTAAAACATAAAAACACTTTTAAAAAACCATATGCTTTAGGGCACTTTTACCTTGGCCCTTTTTGCCACTTTCTATGAACGAAAATATGATACAGATCACACATAAAAGAGCAAGCATTACAACAGCCAGTTAGGCAGCCAAAATGCATCCCCAAACATTTGCCATTCTGCAGTGCCTACAGAATAAAGACTAAACTCCTAGGGACACAATTCAAGGGCTCCGTGGTGTCCCTTCCAGCTGGTCTCTGCAGGCTTTTCTTCCACACCAGTCTGCACTCCAAACTATATGAAAACCTTCACCATTCCTCAAGCACGATCTACAGTCAGGTCTCTGTGCTTTGTGCATAGTGTTCCCTTTGTCCAGGCTGATCTAGGTTTCCCCAACTACCAGACGTTTTCCCATGGCTTAAGCCCTGGCCCAACAAACGTCACCTCTAACAAAGCTCCGCTTCCTAAGTAGACAGAACCGAACTGACCACTCCTTCCTCTGAAGTTCTACAACGCTTGGTTCAGATTGCGGCTGCACCGCTTGTTTTACCCTGTCTGCCAGGAATGCGCAGGTCTATATTCCCCACACCAGAAACCAAACATCTGGAAGTAGCGCCTAGCTGAGGCCTGGGTGCGTCTCCCTCAGGAGAAGGGCCTGGATGCACAGCGATGCCGCTCCATCATTCCTCATCCCAGTGCTGGGTGCAAGGGGGCCGTACAAGTGCCGGCGAGCCAGGATCGCATGCGTGATGTCACACCAGTCATCACGAGCTGTCAGCAGCCGCCACACACGGAGTCAGTCGTCTATGCCAGGCGCTGCCGTGGGGGCTCTGCACGCCTCATCTTTCTGATTTTATCCTCCCAACCATTCCGGATGTTGGTGTAGTATTCCCGTTTCCTGACACGGCAATCAAGGCTTTTGAAAGCTTCCGTAACTTGCTTGGTAAATATGGGGAAGGTCTGAGATTTGAGCCAAGGTCTGGGAACACACATCAAAAGAGCCAGACAAATGGTCCTACCCTTTTGCCTCCATAACTGCATTCTTAAGGGCTTATCTTACAGCTATTGCACAACAGGATGAACAGTTACATGTGTGAAGATGCTCTGTGGAGCCAGAGGGGGTCGTCAGGGTGGAGAAAATGACCGTTAGTCAACTTGAAGGACTAAGCACGCAGCTCCAAAAAGAATTACAGTACATGGAAAAACAAGCTTAAGTGGAAAAAAGCAGCATACAAACTACACTGATTACAGTAATGTAAGATATATATTCATGTGGCCAAAGATAGGGAGGCCTACAGAAATTTGTTTAAGTCTAATATTTTCTTGAGTGCTGTGATTACTTTGATAATAAAGAAAATATTTTAAAGCTGTTCATTGAAGTTTTGTCCTTTAGAAGATGTTCCTTTTAGGGGATACAAATAAAGTTTAAGTTTTACCTGAAATCCTTCTCCTTTGTACAATACAAAAACAAAGCATTTCTTTATAGAATATAAATATAGCTCATGGGTATTCTAGAAATTCAAAAAGTATAAGAATGGGGTGCTTCCATGCCGTAGAATACTACTCAGCTACAAAAAAACAGGGAACTATGGATGCACACACCGACACGGAAGGTTCTTAAAAGCATCATGCTGAGTAGTAGATAAGGCCAATTTCAAAAGATCACGTACTGCAGGGAGTCCATTTATGACACTTTTGAAGTGACAAAATTAGAGAGATGGAGAACAAAGAAATGGTTGCCAGGGGTGCGGGGAAGGAGAGTGTGACTATAAACGGGCAGCATCAGTTGCAGATCTTGATTGCTAGTACGTGGTTCCATGACTTTATACATGGGATCAAATGTCACAGAATTTTATGCAGAAACCTATGAAAAAGTGAGTGCATGAAACACTGGTGAAGTTCAAGTACAGTCAGAGTCTTAGTGAACTGTATCGTGCCACAAATCTCCTGGTTTTGATCAAGCAATACAGTTATTGGAGAAGCTAGGTAATGCACTAGTTTTCCAAGTTCTTGAGCGTTCATAATTATCTCAAAATAAAAAGCTAAAGAAAGCGTAAGAGCACGGTTATCATGGTGTAGACAAAAGACTGCAAGCTCTTACATTGGACAAAATTGGTTCAAACGGAGTTTTGACATTTATTAGCTGGATAACTTGCACAGGTTACTGCACCTCTCAGCCACATTTACCTGTAAAGTAGGGATGATTAAAGATCATGGACTTAAGCACCTGGCATGGTGCCTGTCACGCGGTAGCTAGGAAACAATGGAATTTATTATTATTATCACAAAGAATATCTTAGTATTTGGAAGACGTAACTGTGCTCTACAAAGGTAGCGGATCTTGCAAGCAGCCACATACAGGTCTTTTTTTAGTTGTTGCCATGGGGTGAGACACCTCACATGACTAAAATCCAAATGCCTAGAGGAAAAAAAGACACTACTCAGTAACTGTGTACATTCACAGCTGCATATTATAACATGTTTACTTCTCAATACAGTCTAGTTATTAAAAACACACCATCAGGGAAGCTGTTCTGTTTGGATTGAGATTTAGGAGTGTCCAAGTGTATTCCTAAATGTCAAACTTATACCTAAAAACACATAGATTAGACACTAAATAAAAGTCTGATGCTCTAAGATCAACATGGAAGCAAGAATGTAAACAAAACAGATGAGATCTTACTGTTCTTTGTCCTTGTATAGAGGAAATTCTATGGCTCTGATTACCCTGATCCAACACAAAACAGAAAATGGGACAACTGAGGAGAACCAGCCAGTTCCTGACCATAGGTGCCCAGTTTAATGAGGCTACTTGCCATGTTCTCCCCGAATGACAGGTTCAAGATCAGATAACCCAGCAGGCCAAACTGGAAGATCCAGAAATAGGAAAATTAACTCTGTAGAAACCTGAGCTGTTACTATCTGAGTATTATTAAATATTTAAGAATTCTCAAAGGTCCATTCTAACTCAAAATTCTGTACCTCTAAGGATCTAAAATAGTTGAGAAGTAAACAGAACAATCGAAAAAAGATGCATTCATTTACCATCTCTCTCTTGAGTGCATACTGAGTAGCAGAAACCGTACTGGACGCTAGGAACCACAGAGATAAATAAGATGCAAGTGTTGCCCTGATGGGAGATAGGACACATGTGCCCAAAGAGCCACAATGCCATCAGCAAGACAAAACCCACGTCCAGACTGATGGGATGAGAGGTCAGAGGAGGGCAGAACAATTTCCTATTGACTGGGTCTCATGAAGGTTCTGTGCAATGGCAATGTTAAAGATGATCCTTATAGAATGGAATAACAGTAGATGTAGATTTACCTTCCAGAAACAAGTTAACAGTGACATCAGCTACACGTGTGGAAAAGTATGGGGATTTTATATATGAAAAACAAAACAAAACACAAGTGGATCAGGTTTAAAACAGGACGGCAGGGGAATTCCCCGGGGAGCACCCCAGGGCTTGGATCAGGGTGACTGGGATCCATGGAATGTGTTTCCAGAAGAGGAGCACAAGGACAGAGCGGTGCTTTTTTAAGATTCCTTTGGCAGTCCTGAGCACTGTGCGGTAGCAAGGAAGGGACTATGCCCATTCCTTGGGACTCTGGAAGCTAATGATTTAGGGCAAGCTGAGAGGGTAGGAGAACCCGAGAGTGGAGTGACCTAGGTGGGAAGCAAAAGGAGGAGAAAATGAGCCACTGGGGAAGCATCGGCAATGACTCCGATTTAGACCCAGACAAGAGATGTGAAGAACCCAGAAAGGGGTTTTGGAGAAAGATTAACACTGTCACTTTGAGATACACAGGCTTGGAGGTTATGATAAATTAATCAAGTACAGATAAGCAGGAGGCAGCTGGAATTACAGAACTGGGAGAGATTCCAAAGGCCCCTCAAACTCAAAATGTCCAGAACGAACCACATGATGTTTCTCTCTCCAAATTCCGTCTTCCTATCTCAGTGGCTGGTGCTCCATCTGCCCAGTTACAAAAGCTGGAAACCTAGGAGTCCTCCTTGACGTCCCCTTCTCTGTTATCCCTCATCTAATCTTGCACATTTACCTCTTACATCAATCTTGAACCTGTCAAGCCTTCTCCAACTTCTCTGGACCACTGGAACAAGCATAGCGGTCTCTTTGATTGGACTGTTGCTTCCCCAGAGCCTGCCCTCCACACAGCAGCATAGGTGATCGCTGACAAAAGTCAATCTGATGCTATCATTCCTTTGCTTAAATCATGTCCAAAGCTTCTCACTGCTCAACTCCAAACACCTCCATCCTGAACAGGGACTACAAGGCCTTAGTCATCTGGCCCCACCCTCCTCTCCCTCCTGCCATTCCTCGTCTTTCTCCTGGCCCCAACCCAGCCACGACTGGCTCATCCTTTCATGTTCCCCCTTGGTCTCAGTGCCTCTCGCTGTTCCCTCAGCTGATTCTCCCCACCCAGCCCCTGCCAAGCATCCAGGTAATTCTTATTCATTCTTCAGACCAGGGGTCAAACATCATTTTCTCAGGACAATCTCCCAGGCTCCTCAAACAGCTACACTCCTGTACCACTTGCTCCTGGGTTACTCACGCTCGGCACAACTTGCTGTTATATACCCGGCATGATTATCTGATCAGTGTCTGTCGGTCCCATCAGAACGAAAGCTTCATGAGGGAGAGACCATGTCTGCCATGCACACCACTAGATCCGAGTGCCTGGCACAGTGCTCGGCACACGGCGGCCTCTTAAATGGTCAACGAATAAAGAATGAAATGAAGTCTGGTAAAGAAGGGGAAGAAAGAGGATGGTACTATCGGGGAGGGGGGTAGCAGGGATCCAAGACACAGAGACTTGAGCAGGTCTGCAGGGCGGGGTGGGGACAAAAGAGCTAATGGAAATCACAGATGGAAGACGCAGAATGACCGAAGGAGCACTAAGGCTCTGAAGGAAGTAAAAGAGGAAAGGAGACAAGGCTCAAGT